CCTGCAGCAAAAAAGTGCAGGAACAAGAAGAAGAAAGTAAAGGCTCGTGTGTTGAGAGATCTGTTCAAGCACGGTTCGTTCCGAACTATACCCGCTACGCCACCATGGTGAATACCATCCTATTAGGGACGAGGTGGTGCGACCCGCCCTCGAGGAGTATGATGGCGATGCCGGATGGCGTATATGATGGCGCATTTCCACGAAGCACGGTTTGGCGAAGGAATGGATGTGGAGGAAGATCCGGAGCAAACCGCGAAGGCCTTCTACGACATGATGGAGTCGGCACGAAGCCCCTTCACGAGAAGACAAAGCTTATGCAATCGGATGCCGCCTCTCACGCTGATAGGGTTGAAGTCGCACTGGGCATTAGTCGAGACGGCTTCGATCTCGTGTTGAGCATTGTTGGGGATCGCTTCGGCAGATCATGTCCTGCCGACGAACACCTACGCTACACAGAAGCTCCTTCGTGCACTTAAGATGCCGTATGAGGGGATCCATGCTTGTCCGAAGGGGTGCGTCCTGTTCAGGGGAGACCTCGAGGAAGCAAAAACTCGTCCGGCGCGATGCCTCTAGGTTCGTGTTGGTAGAAGGCTCGATGGCAGCATGAAATAGTCTAAGGTCCCCGAGAAGGTCGTGACGGCACCTTCCTTTCCTACCGAGGCTACAACGGCAGATATGACGGAGGAGTCCGCGAAATGTATGACGTGGCACAAGAATGGCAAAAGATACCATCCCGACAAGATGGTACACCCGTGGACGGTGATGCATGGAAGCACTTCGATAACATGAATCTGTCAAGGCTATGGAGGCTCGGAATGTACGCGTAGAAGGCCGGGCAACAGATGGGTTCAACCTGCTTTGGAATGATGGCGGCCCCGTACACTTGCTGGCCCGTGTGTTTGTGATCCCCTCAATCTCCCCGGCGTCATGTTTGAACCTAAGAACGTGCTCTTGACGCCGATAATACCCGGACACCCGGCGACAATATGGGTGTGTTCATGCAAACCGGTGTGGGATGAATTGGAACTTGCTTGGGAAGAGGGGTACTCACGTGCACGACCGGCTACTGAAGAGGAACTTCAGAATGCATGTGTGGTACCATGATTCAATGCATGACTTCTGGCGTATGGCTTATTCAAATGGGTGGTGTGTTCACGGGAAGTTCCCTTGCCCGACATGCAAGGCGATGTGATGTTCACTGGCTGGCCAAGGGCGGCAAGTTTTCTTCTTTCGACAAGCATCGCCAATTCCTCACCGAGAACCATGAATTCAGGCTAGATGTAAAGCACTTCACGAAAGGCGTTCAAGTCATCGGCCCCATTCCGCAGTTAAGAGCCCCGCCGCCGCCCTTGCCGACATATACAGCTCTCGAACCCGAGGAAACAGGTGGGTTTAAGGGATATGCTCGGGACCACATGTGGACTCATATATCGGGCTTGACTAGGCTCCCCTACTTCAAGGACCTTCTTCTTCCACACAACATCGATGTAATGCACACGAAAAAGAATGTGGCCGAGGCACTCAGGCAACACTCATGGACGCGTTGGCAAAAGTCGAAGGACAACGCCAAGGCTAGATCGACCTAGAGATGATCTGTGATAGACCAAACCTAGTGATGAAGACCCTCGCGCCCGCAGAAAATGGAAAAGGGGCGACCGATTACATCCTGAAAAGGCGCGATAGGAAGGAAGTTCTGCGGTGGATCAAGACGTTAAAGTTCCCGATGGGTATGCGCGCGAATCTGAAAGCGGGGTGTGAACTTGCGTACTATGAAAGTCTTAGGGATGAAGAGCCATGACTTCCACATATGGATTGAGCGGATCCTTCCTGCGATGACCCGGGATACCTCCCGCAGCATGTGTGGCGCGTCCCCGGCAGAGTTGAGCTTCTTCTTCCGCCAGCTTTGTGCCAAGGAGTTGCCAAGGACTCGTGCAGTTCCTGGAAGATTGTGAGTGGAGCAGGTCAAGCACGCCATATCAATGGCATCCAGGGCCTCCTGATTAAGGAGTACTACCCCAGCCTTGTCAATGTCAACGGCGAGATGAAGGTGCCCACCAAGTGGTCCCACTTCTACCTCGTCGAGGAGGGTGGCGAGACCATCGCGCAAAGATAAAGAGGAGTTTTGGGTGAGTCTTTCATCGCACCGCATTGCTAAATAGTACGCATTCGTCGGACTTCTTGCAAAAAGGAAATGCTACATGATGTGTCGTAAAGCGGGACTTCTTCACGTCGCGAGGAGGGTAAAGCGGCCAAAGCGGCGCGAAAGTGTGAGGCGGTCTGCAAAGATCGTCTCAAGGACCTGTACCATGAGGCGCGCGCACACACAAGCATCCGCGACTTCCACGCCAACGTGCTTGGAGAGAACATCAAGAAGCCCCAAATCCGCCAGAGAATGAACTCGAGGGAGGCCGACCTCACCCAAGCGCAATACGAAAGGTGTAATTATATGACAACATTCGCTTCAGATTCCTTCAAAGGAAACATTACACTAATCTTCTCGCATGTCAAATACTTGATGTCATGCGTGTGTCCGTCCGTCGTGGTGCGACAACCACGAGGAATGCTTTGGACGGAGATTGTGCGCGCATGTGGCGCACGGATGAGGCGTCTGTGAGGCGCCGCCGACCGTCCGTGGCCGCCACGCCAGATGCGAGGGTGTCACACCACCAAGGGAATCAGCCCCTCCCGCCGCGACAAGATAGGTATGCGTCCGTTCATGTCTTAATCCTTGCGCTCAATTGTCAATACTTGTAACCATGTTTGTGTTTTCAATGCGCACGCAGACGCACGGTGGGCAAGGTGAAATCAACGAGTACACCGCGTACCTCCTCTCTCACAAGGGCAAGGCGACGGATCCGAACAACGCCTACAACCCGGAGGACGGGCCCGATCGCGTACACCAACCCCACCGCCTACGAGAAGGCCACCGAGTACACCGTCGCTGCTCGCCCGGCGCTTCTGACGGGAGACGTTCGACCCCACCGCCGAGAGCCCCGGACACGAGACCTCCTGCAGAGGTTGGGACCAGGAAGCAAAGACGCAACGCCGCTACTACATGGCCCACCACAGCCGCCCTCGACCTCATGCGGAGCGGGCGACGAGACCGGGGGCGGGCGCGACGAGCTAGGTATTTGTCGATTCTCATATCATGTATCCACCGTGACGTCGAAGTTGTTGTCATGTATTTCTTTTCTTCGTTATGGACCTAGACTTGTTATGTTGAACTTAGTGTGATGGACGCCGACTTGTGGTGTTCGGCGTGTTGGACTTCATGTGATGGTTGTAATGCACTTGTGTGGTTGTTATTGTGACATATATGTGAGATATATGTGATGTTGTGCGTTATTGTGATATATGTGGTGATGTTGGCGACAAAATGTGATGAAATTGTGATATAAATGGTGCTACCGGGGTGCTTCCGTGAAATTGGATTATAATTTGTGATTTTGCGGGGTTTTGATGCGAGAAAACAGAAAACAAAAGCAAAAAAAAATTCCAGCTTTTGCCGAAATCGTCTTTGGGCAAAAACCCCAGATGAGTCTCTTTGCCGATCAATGGGGAGGCGATCGGCAAGAAGAGGTCAAACCTTTGCCGATCGCAACTCAAGCAATCGGCAAAGAACATTTCAAAAAAATATTTTCTTTCTTTGCCGACCGCCGAAAAGCGGCCACCGGCAAACAATTTTGAAAAAAATTTCTTTGCCGACACGCCGAGAACCAACAATCAGCAAAGCCCGCCGTCAGGTATTTCGGCGCCACGTGTGGCTATGCCGATCATGGCGTGGCGATTGGCAAAGGCTTTGCCGATTGTGAAGACCACGTGGCGATCGGCAAATCCGCTTTTGCCGACCCAGGCTTTGCCGACCGCTTTTTGCCGATCGCCACGTGAGCTTTGCGGTCGGCAAAGCCTTTGCCGACTGAGTTTATGCCTTTGCCGACCGGGCTAGCAATGGCAAAGAGGCGCTTTCCTATAGTGATCGGTACTTTCTTACAAGTATATACTTTAAATTCGACACAGGCGTAAATTTTGCTATGGATCGAATAAACGTGACATCGTTATTTCACACCAAATGCCATAATTTGTTAGGTATTGTTAAACTATTGTTGTTTGCTAGAGACCGATGTGATTATAATATTATTTTTCTGAGTTTGAGAAGAGAGAATGTAGGGGAAATGTTATTTCTTCCTTCCCATGCTGTCTTTTCTTTCTTGTACAGTTGTACAGTTCTGAGGACTGCTGCTGTCTGCCGCCGTGGCCCAACCACCTGACCTTCGGACTTGGGTGATGCCGAGGCTGACCAGCAGCTGCCGTTGATGGCGGGTCGCCGCCCAAAACATGAAATTTTAGAAATATTGGATCAAATTCAAACATTTTTTTAATAAAAAAAACTGGCATCATTTCACAAGAAACACTATCAATCCATTGTGCGTCACAACTATATATGTAACGCCGAAAGAATAACACAACATATCAAGAGGCAGAGCAACACTAGTAAGGTGGATTGACGGTGAGTTCCACAATAAATTCTCTTCTTATTACCTGAACGATGCTATTATTCCTGCTATAGTTAGTCTTTGGCTTCAACGATAGCTAACTTATCTCCAGAACCAGAATGGTCAGCAATTCAATTTCTAGGCCTCCCAGTAAGCAAAGAGAGGCCGAGCAATGCAAATAACCAATATGGCTAGTTACTAGTTGGAGCTAAAAGTTAATTCAAATTGGCTACGATCGGCTAGCTTGTTGGTTAACAACTACTGATTTACTGATTGATGATCTAACTAAAAAATTAGTCCATCTATTAACCCTGTCGTTTAGATGTACTATAGCTAATTTTGAGGTGGCTAGCAATTAGCGTAAACAGGCGTCTGATGAGCAGCAGATGTGAAGTACTCCTAGAACTGTTGTGCTCAGTGAATTGTCGTGATAAAATTCAGTTCCAAACTCAGTTGCATGCATGTACACTGGATGATCTCATCTTGTCACGGCCTAAATTAACTCGACTATCGGCGAGAATCCCACGACGCCGGCGAGGGCATCGACGACGTTGTCCGCGCCGTCGTGGTGCCCGATGATGCGGTGGTCGCCGACGACAGCCGCGGCGTAGCAACCTGCTTGATGGCCACGTTAGGGAACGGGCTGCTCCTCCGCCGCTCCTGCTCCTTGACCAGCTCCGTCACCAGCGTGTCCACTTTCTCGGCGTTCGTCCGCTCCGACAGCCTCCGCCCGCGGAATAGCACCGATTCCACGTTCCGCTGCGCCAGCATCGCCTCTGCGGTAGCGACCGCCGTCTCCGCGCGGAGAGGCGCCGATTTTCTGCCGGCCTGGATACGGACATAGTTGCTTCCACACGCGTCCCCGAACGCCATGGCCACTGATTCGTCCACCATGTCCGCCACACCCTCGTCGGTGACGCGTGCCAGCTCCCGCGGTGACGGTGCGCGTGTGGGCGGCACTGGCGTGTTCGGCTTCGGCCCGCTAGAGACGGTGGTGGACGAGCCGGTGCCGATGGAGAAGACGAGGATGTCCTCGACGCTGGTGGCGAGCGGGAACTCCAGCTTGTTGTGCAGCACGTGCGTAACGGCGGCGGCTGCCGGGTTGCCCATGGCCGCCACGCCCGCGCACGCCGCGGCGATGGCCGTGAGGCCGTCGACGGACCTCACGTCGGCGAGCGCGCCACGGTCGGCGCCGGTCGCGGCGCAGACGTCGCGGAGGCGGAAGTCGAGGCTGTCGCTCTCGACGGCGTCGGCGCGCGAGAACACGAAGGGCGCGCCCGTGGCGAGGTCGTAGCAAGGCACGAGGAGCGGCGCCACGGTGTCCCTGAGCGTGGCGTCGCCGAACACGCGGCGGAGCATGCGGTCCCCGCCCGCCGACAGCCGCGGAAGAGCTTCGCCCACCGCCCGCGCCGGCCGCCCCAGTTCTTCTCCTTCCTCCCGACGCTGCTGGCGACGAACGCGAGCGCCTCCTGCGCCGTGTACCGCGGCCGCCCGTCGGCGCCCCTCAGGAACAGCATCGCGGCCAGCACGGCCCCCGCGCCGGCGCCCGCAACCACGTCGAAGAAGTCGGCGACGCGCGCGTCGGGGTCCCCGGCCTGCTCCCGCAGCCCGGCCTCGAGCCTCGCGAGCGCCGCGGCCGCCAGGAGCGCGTCCTCGGCGCCCGCGCCGCCGCAGCCGTCGATGGACAGCACCCGCACGCGCCCACCGTCAAGAAACGCTCTGGCCGGCGTGCCGGGCCCGGAGGAGGACAGGCACCCGGCGCCGCCGCCGCCGCCGAAGAGGAACTTGCTCTCGAGCAGGGAGAATATCTCGTAGCTGAGCCTGTCCACCACGCCCATGGCTTTCGTCTGTGGCGACGGCATTGCCGCGTACGCTTCCATCTCTTTCTCTCTCTCGGCCGCAGAGGCAGCAAGACTGGAGCTCGACCTAGCTGGTAGATGAATTCGAGCTCGAGATGTGAGAGACGCCAGAGACTGTGATGGTTGGATGCGGCCTAGTCCACTCGAACTGGAGCCTTTATATACAGGTGAAGGCAGCGCATGGTGGTAGCTGCACCCGACGACAGCTAGCGTACGGACGTGTGTCCTGACCCGTCTGAGCCTTGAAGCGAAGGTGGCTGGAAACGTCGCAACGAACGCTCGACACTCCGCTGGACAGGTCGCCGCGCCGCGCCCACGTACGTACACGCACCCGACGGTGGCCGGAAGCTTCCGCGCGAGCGCGAGGCGCACACGAGGGCCGCTTGTGGCCCCGGTGCGCCGCTGTCGTGCGGGTTCCATCAGTCTGTGTGAGTCCACGTCGTCGCCGAGGTGGGCGCTGTGTCCCTGCAGCCTGCAGGGCGTCGGCGCTGGATCTGTGCCACTCACCGTTCACGTGGTTTCCACACGTGGGGAGACATGCGCTGGAGGCTGTGCAGGAGGAAAGCAGTGCTTGTTTAGTTCTAAAAAGTTTCGTAAAAAATGCCATAGTAGACATCACATCGAATTTTACGATATATATGTGTATGGAACATTAAATGTAGATGAAAAAAAACTAATTACATAGTTTGGTTGAAATTGCGAGATTTAACGTTTTAAGCCTAATTAGTCCATGATTAAACACTAATTGCCAAATAAAATCGAAAAGTGCTACAGTAGCTAAATTCACAAAATTCACGAACTAAACACAGCTAGAGTTGGTATGCCAAGGTACCAAAACCAACTCTGGCCTTGTTTAGATTGCAAATTTTTACAACCTGGACACTGTAGCACGTTTCGTTTGTATTTGACAAACTTTGTCCGATCATGGACTAACTAGGCTCAAAAGATCCATCTCGTGATTTATAACCAAAATGTGTAATTAGTTATTTTTTTACTTACATTTAATGCTCCATACATGCGTCTAAAAATTGATGTGATGGAGAGAGAGTGAAAAAACTTGGAATTTAGAGGTGATAAACAAGGCCTCTGCTTTGCTCCTACACAAAAGTCGAGACAATCTCGAGCTTCACTGTGCATGTGTGTTTACACACGAAATAGGACAGTACAAGTGGCTCTACTAGTAGAGTGCGTTCTATGCTACGCAGAGGATGCACAGTCACACACTCACACTATGACACCTCACACTAGTATAGAATGTTTTTCCTGCTTTGTTGTCGATTCTCTTATCATTGCCACGCCATCTACCATACTACTATTCATCCGTGGCACTGGCCAGATAAACGTCATGATAAGAATTAAGAGTCGGTACAGCCGTACAGATGAGATGAGGTGTTTTATTGAAGCGGCTAGCTGTTACACGGCTAGCGGTACATAGACAACGTACGTTACCACTTCTGTGTCTGTGTCGCATAGTTACAACCACCGGTAAGGAAACCGGCGGGAACGAGGGTTATGATGCCCTAACCAGCAGGATGAGGCTTGGATCCATTTTCAGGCTGTCAAGATTTAGGGTCTATTTGGATCCCTGCCTATAAACTTTAGAGGTCTCTAAACTTTAAAGCACTTTTATCTCACTTTTGATGTCTAAAACTCTAATATGAGATGAGCTAAAGTTTAGAGCTAATTTTAGATCACCTGTTTGGAGGTTTAGCTCTAAAGTTTACAGAAGATGATCCGGACAGGCCTTTAGTCGTTTAGCGTTACCTTGTGTGTTAATTAGCTAGGCTAAGGAATTAACTTAATCTAGTATCCAAGATGCTTAATGACATCGTAACGGAAATGCTGAGCTGAGGCGTGCGTGCATACATCTGAATTATCACTGTGCCATGCAATGTTTGTAATTCTGAATTATCATTTCCTAGCACCATCATGTCAGGCAGCAAAACCGTTGGCATGAATTATATATGTGCCGTGCCCGTTTTGTATGTATGTTTTTGAGAGGGGAGATGACAAACGTACGTGTGGTACTGTGGTGTGAGAGAAGACTCGACGACGGATTACATATATATGTATACCAGGCCGGACAAGTACTGTTGTTGTGCGTGCCATACTTGCAGCCGGCAGCATCGAGTTGTTGCTGCGTGGTTGTGCAGCTGGTGCATGCATGCTTCCGTCCCAGATTCCACGCACAGCTGGAGGCGCAGACACCTACGGAGTAGCTAGCACCCGCAGCGACTCATGGTTTGACTAAAGACGCGCGCACGGGTGGGTGACGAGCCTTGGGCCACCCACGCACGCACGTACGATCAGCGCCAAGAGGACGTGCAACGAATTGGGAATCTTGTTCGGCCCCGGCGAACGCGTGTCCTACTCCTGCCGGAGGACGCCGGCAGGCGCGCCAAGAACAGCACATGCGCACAGCTCAGCCAGCGGCGCGGTCGTCACGGCTCTACAACACCTACGGACCGGTACCCACCAGTTCGTCGGCACTTGCACGCGCCACATGGCGGCATCTCGATCGCGGTCACGGTCGGGAGTAGGGACCCGCGCGTTTGCATATTTTGCACACCCTTCGCGGCTTCGCGCTAGCTACGTGCGTGCTGTCACTCTGCAGTCGCGCACGCATCTCCTCCCATCCGATCTAATCATACGGTGGTATCACTACCGGAAACGGTAGCTCTGTCGCGTGCCATAGACACTCGACAAAGCCTAAAAAATATTTGACAAAAAATTTGCCGAGTGTAACACTCCGCAAACAGCACACGGCATCTACAGTGACGGCAAACGGCTCTTTGTCGAGTATTTTCTATCAGGCACTCGGCAAAGAATTTGCCGAGAGCTGAAACCGACGCTCGACGAAAAAAAGTAACGTGACGGAGTGGAGACGGTCACGACGAGTTTGCCGAGTGTCAAATATCAGGCATTCGGCAAACCTTCCTTTTTTGCCGTGTGTCAAAGTTCACGCACTCGGCAAAAATTCTTCCTTTGTCGTGTGTCAAATTCTAAACACTCGGCAAAGATTCCTCCTTTGCCGTGTGTCAATGTTCAGGCACTCGGCAAAAATTCTTTCTTTGCCGTGTGTCAAATTCCAGACACTCGGCAAACCTTCGTCCTTTGCGAATACTAGGCACTCGGCAAACACGTTCCAAAATGCACATAATTTTGGCTTCTTTGCCGAGTGTCATAGCGCAGACACTAGGCAAAGAAGTCATTCTAGTCCCAGAATACACAGAATTTTACCACGTGTCCACTTTGTCGAGTGTTTTAACCCTGACACTCGGCAAAAGGCCTCTTTGCCGAGTGTAACACTCGGCAAAGTGACCATATATTTCCTGTTTTTATAGTTCGGTCACTTATAACGTACGTCACTCTAATAAACATTACAGGCATCACACATAGTTCGCAATAAGCATCACAGGCAGTTCATATAGATATATCGACAACAAATAAATATAAATAAACTTCAGAATCACAAGTAGGTTCATTCACAACCATAAATAGTCACAGGTAATCCACAAATACAAATGCAAATAAAATCACTTAGACCATGAGTTTCATTGCGACCACGCTGGATCATGAGACTCATTCGATGCCGTCGATTGATGATGCACAAAGGAGAAGAGATTGCATGTGTGAGTCAAGATTGAACAACACGTATGGTCTCTCTGCTGCCTAACTAGTATAACCCTTTAACTATCAGCAATATCTTCTTAATTGCATTGTGCTCTAGTATGATGGCTTAAATACTAGTTGGTAACAAGCATATAACATTAGTCACTAAGTTCCTAATGTTTGGGCATCTTTGTAAGAATGATTCTGTATAAACTAAAAACGGTGATTATAAGGTTGTAAAGCGACTCACAGTGCCTAAAACAATGTTTGGAGCAGGTTGAGGAGGAGGGACTGGCATTGATGGCGGAGGTTGACCGATTGCAGCGTAAACACCCCTCATATATTCAAACATCTGCAGCTCCATCCTCTGCCGCTCTGCCGCCATCCTCTGCCGCTCTGCCTCCATCTTCGCCTCTAGCTCCTCCCGGCGCCTCGTTTCTTGTTCCAGCTGAGCCTACAATATTTCATCACAATGTTACAATGCAATGCAAAAGTATGTAAAAACCAATGAACGATGAATAAAACAGAAATAACTTGGAGTGCGTTCATTTGGAACCGTGTAGAGTCTGGTCGTGGGCGTATCGCCGGACTAGAACCCGTGCTCCGTGCTCGAATCTAGGAGAGAGTGAGAGTACTGGCCGTGTCGATGGTGCCGTCGCCAATCCAGAACTGGCCATGCTTCTTGCCTCCTCTCGCCCTCATGACCACTTCTCCATCAAGGTCATGGGCACTCGGATCGTACTTTTCTCCTTTGGGCCCTCGTCAGGACGAAATCGGCCTTAGGCTTTCTCCATGACTTCCCGCCTCCGGGAGGCGCCATCTCTAGCTTTGGTCTATTGCATAACCTCGCCTGATCCACTCTAGCCTTAACATTGTCCTTTGTCTTATCAGGAATGTCCATGATTGTACCAAAAATTGCCTCGGCGATATTCTTTTCAGTGTGCATTACATCAATGTTATGTGGAAGTAGAAGGTCATCAAAATAGGGGAGGTTCCACAAGCACGACTTGTGAGTCCATGCATGTTCCTCACCATATCCTAGAAAACAATCTCCTTGGTCATTAACCTCAAGAGCGTCTAACTGAGCACGAACCACGACCCCAATCATCATCTGGGGTGCAGGGCCTTCAACTACTACATTTTTCGTAAAGTTCTTGATGTCTCGTCTGAATGGATGGTCAAGAGGGAGGGATTGTCGATGTTTGTCGAACGAAGAATACTTACCACCCTTCGTCAACCAAATGAACATCAGAGACGCCTTGCATACCGGACAAGAGAACTTCCCGTGAACACACCAGCCGCAGAATATCCCATACGCCGGAAAGTCATGCAGGGAGTACTGGTACAAAACATACATTTTGAAGTTTGTCTTTGTAGCTCGGTCGTATGTC